GACTGTTCTTTTCCTCCTATCCATTAGACCATGCTATCCTACTATTAGTGAGTAGATAGCCCTAGTCGTTGGATGTTTGAGGGACTATCGAAAGGGACACTTATGGTCATTGAAGGTAACATGTAAGGATATCTTAGCATTTTGAAGGGACTGTCATCATATATTCGTAAGCAACATCGAGGGACAAGATCATTTCTCGTAGGCAACTCAAGGGACATTAAGGGACTATAATCTTTTTGATGACTTTAGATTGCGGGTCATTGCTAATATATCCCTATGTTCGAGGGACACGGCCATTATTTCTGAGGCAACCAAGTGAGGCAAACCCTAGGAGTGAGCATGTGCAAGTGTGCTTTCTTTCAGTTAATTATATTTTCACAATTAGGGTCATCTACCTTTTAAACATGGATTTATCTTTCGCATACAATCCTAATGCTCATACATCTAGCAGTTTAATAGTTGCAAAAATTAACGAGTGCGAGAAATTAAAACCTTGGCTGTTATAAGGCCTTGGGAAGGGGGATTACATAATCAAAAACCGAAAAATAATATATGCAAAATAGTAAACCTAATTGACTATTACAAACTCGGAGCAATTACATTAATAGGAAAAATAATGGGAAAAAAGATGCGCGCGAGAGTAAGTCAAACATGGAATTAACGTCAAGTTTAGGAACAATTAATTGGTGAATAAAGAAAAGATATTTTTGGATTTTTTTTTGAGAAAAGTAATTAATCTTGCAAATTAACCTAATTTCTATTAAATTTTAATTTTGAAAAAAAAGTATTTAAGTTAACTTAATTAAACTAATTAATTAATGCAAATAAATATTTTATGAAGAAAAAAAACTAAACCTAATATTTTTCTGATTTTCTGATTTTTGATTTAAAAAAATGATTTTGTAAAAATAATTAAAACAAGTAATTGAAAAGAAAACAAATAAAGAAATTTAAAAAAGGAATAAGAGTGGGCCTGATATAGCTGAGCAAATTGGGGGTGCATTGCTGAAAATTGCAAAGGCCCAGGATGATGGTGGCCCAGTTGTCATGCGCCTGATCTAGTGTAGCAACGCCTGGGATGGTTCACCATGTGCTACACCTGCGGTGTGCTAGATCTGGACTGATGATGGATCCAATGGCTGAGATGTTGAGGTGCATGGTGGACACTTGATCATGAAGCGCACAGATCCTGTAAGGGATTTGAAGGAAAAATAATAAATGTTGGAGGCAGGGGTCGAACCCCTGACCTCTCACTCACAATGCTTGAACAACTCTCCTGCATGCCATTGGGCCAGTTGGCCTTTTGTTAATATAACTGAACAAAATAATATATAAGGGGAAAACACGTGATGTCTAGAAAAACGCGTTAATATTCAAATGGTCCAATGAGACGTTGCCACGCAGTCGTCTTCTTCCCCAGTACTGTCGTATTAGGTAAAGGCTTTTACCTACGGTTCATTGACTATAACTATAACCTGCTAATCTCAAAAAATCTTAAATAAACAAGATAAATGAAATCTTAGCATGCAAATCCACTCAGTTTGACCTCGTGAGCATGATGGTTCCCATATTTAGCCCAGATTTTACTTGCATCACAAAGCCCTAAAATGCAAGCATAAACCCTAATAATGGCAATTGTCCATACGTGCATCAAAACTCATAATTAACCATGCCAATCCATTCTAAATGACAATACAAACATGAAGGTATGCTTAAAAACTGTTAACCATGCGCAAATAATCAAAATCAAAATCAAGAACAATGGCAAACCGTGATGTGCGTGCAGGTCGATTCCGGATGTCTCAATGTGTGCAACTGGTTGGAAAAGCTTCTGTAAGCGTCCAGGAATGTATTGCAAATCTTAAATCTCCTTGAAGATGTCTCTAAGATGGAATTCGACTTGAGACTTTTTTGGCAAAAAGTTGCAAGTTCTCTTGGTTGTTTCACGCGTGCAATCCTCTTTTTTGTGCTTGGGAATTGTTCTATATATGTAGTGCACTGAATTAGGTCAACAAAAAGTATTAAAATCTTGGCAAATTATGAAGATTGTATTTTATTTCATCTTTGCATTATTTCTTCCTAAATCAAGCCAAATAATGCCATTCTCATCCCAATCACCCTTTGCACGATTTGATTTTGTTTGACAGCATAATTGGATTGTGATTCTATTCAAAATCAGATCAAAAACAAATATTTATTAATTTATATCATTTATTTGATTTAGTTTGATTTTTTTAATGATTAAAATCAAAATAAATTAAATAAATAAAGCCAATAATATGTGGTAGAGTGTTTGGGTCGTGGACCATGTTAGAAGTAAGATGCAAGCATAAAAAGTTAGGCCAATTTGACAAAAAAAATGCAATTTTGGGTATTGTTAACTTTTGACAATTTTCCAAAAATTGGCAACTTTGACAATGCATCTCCTTCAATTTTGACCCTAATGGCAAATGTCACGTCGGTTTTTTAAAAATAACCAAGGTGAAATCTGGCATTTGTAAAACAGATTTTACCCTAACTCTAACTAATATGTAGTCGCAACAGATAGAAGAAATATTTACCACTGTCCATTGCCATGAAAATCTTTGATCTAGAAGCACTTACGAACAGATCTCTGAAGACCATGAAATCTCTGAGGTTTCCGAAGACTATGAGATCTCTAAGGATTCCATCAAAGATTTGTTGTAAATAATTTATTCCCAATAACTCCTTATAGCAAAGATTTGTTTATCTCCAAGAATCTGGATTTGTCGTAATATTGTGTTTTAAAATACTTTGTAAATTATGTAAATTAAAAATTAATAATAATAATAATCTTTCACCTCAGATTTTCTAAAAACTGAGGGGATATTTTAGCGTTAATTTTGAGGATATTTGTTACCGTCCTTAATCAAATCCTTTTCGTCCATTTCAATCACTATCGATGCTCAAGACACTTCCATTAGTGATCCGTCTGAAACCTAAGAGCAATCTGAATTCAAAAATTCATAATACAACATCATAAAGCGCTTGAAACTATCTTCCACTTTAAGATTTGTAAGAGTTTTGGTCATGAAGAGTTCTCTAAGATGGATTGCAAGAGCGGAAAATTATTTTGATTTAAGGTTTGTATTCTTAAATGTTTATTTGAACATAAAGTTATTTATTTATCTAACCTTTTTTTATATCATCAACAAATGAAGGAAAAGCAATTGAAAACATATTGTTTCCAGCAACTGAAAACATATGATCTTCATGGACAACTTTGATTTTTATTTTGATATTATGTGTAAACAATGTAACCAGTTTAATATTCTGGGTAAATATTGTATTTTGTAAATAAGTTACTTTATTAATTTTCTGTGTAAACAATGTAACCAGTTTAAATTTAAAAAAATACTAATAGTTTACCCTTCGGTTTTATTGATAATTCGAGATACTTAAGGCGCTACAATTGTAAATAATAAAAATGCAGACGGTGTGGATCGAACCCATGCGCTATTAAAATACCCCTCAGTGTTTTAAACACTGAAGTGATAAGTATTTACTTTTATGACGACCTTATTTATCTCGCTTCAGATGCCGAGGTAAAACGCATTCCGCGTCCGACGTGACACGGGCTTTTTGTAGTAGTGACATATACATGCAATGATTTGTAAGAAATTAGATGTATGTGAATGAAGAACACACATAGAGATTCTCTCAAATTTTTAGATAAAATAGGTCTTGGATCTTGATGGTTATCATGAGATTTATAAAGCTTGATTCGTTACAAGATTGATAAACTCTCTTTATATGGTTTCTCTTGAAATATCAAATTACAAATACAAGATATAACAAAATGGAGATTCAGTCTGACATGGATTAACACTAAAGAAATTTTTCTTCAAAGAAGAGAAAGAAACAAGGTGCTAAGAATAGACACACTAGAGAAGAAAATACAAATTGACTTTTTTTGTCTTAGGATTTTACAATAGCTTTCATCATGAAAAATAATCACAATGAGAGTTACTTCTTCATGACTCATGTCTCATTTCACATGTGTTTGAATCAAAAAATCACTATTTAAATCTAAGGTGGAAAATTGAATTTTTAAAACTATGATTCAAATCAAGTACATACAATGATTTGAGTCACATTGCCTTGCAATTCGAATCAAACCACATAGTGACAAAATCCAATTTTCACAACTTGAGTGATTCGAGTCATACAATACACATGATTCGAATCAAACAACTTAACACCTTGATCTAAATGTTCTAAGTTGTAATTCAATTAACACCTTGATGAAACGTAAAAAAACTAACTTGCTAGACTAAAAAAGGATAATGAACCAACATTCTAATTATTGAATATTAAGGATTTTTAAGGGTACAATGCAAAATAACTTATGCGAACATAATAAAACTCAAATGTGAGAGAAATACAAACACACGAATATTTAAATAATGAGAAAATTACAAATACACAAATAATCAATAACACACGCAAATTAACAAAAACATCAAAACAAATAAAAATGATGTCATACAATAACATGACTATAATTTCAAATAATTAATCCTCTACACTCTAGTTTAGAAATAGGTCATTGAATAAATTGAACTATTTCTAAACTCCCATAGGAAAATGTAGCAAAGAAAATCTACTTCATATATGACCACACATATATGACAATGCATATATGACGAGACAACCATTCTAAACCATAAGACTTTGCGTTGTCGGTGCTCGAAAAAAGATTTACCAGATTAAGAGAGTATTTTCCCACTAATTCATTAAATCATTTAGCTTTTAGAAACCATACTCTTTGCATTTTTCTTTTTTATTTCTTCTCAAATTTTATATTTATCAACAAATGATTTTTTTGTATGTAATTCCACTTGCAGCAAGCAATCATGAATGGATTTGACATACTTATTGAAACATGTAATTTTATCACTAGAAATTGCATGAACAATATCACCAAGAAAAAAAAATTCTCAAAAGTGCATCCTTCTCTCTTTCTCTCTCAATAATAAATGTTTTATCACCACTGTAGAAGATCTTCAGAGCCCATTAAAGATAAAGAGTCACAATATCATCTCATATATTATTCAACCTCTATTTATTCCAAGATAACAAAGCCAAAGTTGCTGTCGTTTCTATTCCTCACGGCCTTTCTCTCTTGTTGCTATTCTTTTTCACCTTTTTTCCTTGGACCATCTTTCTCTTTATCTCTTTTATGTAAGCAAGTCTAATCTAAAACTTGTTTCTGATTTTTGTTGTTTTTCTTTCCCACCTATTATTTTGTCTCATAGTTTGCTCCATGTTGTTATTCTTTTCTTGTTATTTAGATTCTTATGGACATGTAAAATGATTGCAATGATGTAAAAGCTTCTACATGTTCTTCAATTTTTACTTGTATCTATTTAGTTTTCTTCTTCTTTTTTCCTCTACATGTTATGTGTGTTTTCTTCTTCTTTCTATAATATATGAGGGAGGAATCTATAAGTACAACTTCGTTATTATATGTTTTCCATGATGTAAAAATGGGAAATCTAGCACTTATGTACATTGGACGGTACCCCTGTGTCTTATGGCACTCTGTAATACGGTGGGAGAACTGACATGGGTGTTTTGCGTTTGATCGCAATTATTGCAGATAGCAAGAGTCTCCACCGTCTTTTCTTTTATCCAATAAAAGAAAGGGTGAAAAGAACAGGAAAGACCTTTTAAGATATTTTCTTGAGTTCGGGGGGTAGATTATGAAAAGGGAAGGTGTTAGCACTCTTTTAATCCGTAGCTATCTACGGGCTCTTAGTTGCTTGATCACTTTGAAATACTTTGTTTAAAATGTGTTTGTGATTGTTTTTGAAAAGTTCTTTCGTTTAGGCGAACTTTGTAATGATTCTCATCTCTATAAGAATGTATACAAAGTGTTGACTTTTGAAAATATTTCATTTGAAAGTGTTGGTGTATTTGAAAGATGTTTTGAAGATGGTTGTGAGCAAGCAACTATGAACTTTCTACATACTCAAAAAAGTCTTAGTTCTTTTCCTCCTTATTTAGATATTGCTATCTTACCATTGATTGGTAGGAAGCCTTATCATTGAATGTGAAGGGACAGACGTGGATCATCGTATAGTCATAGAAGGCAACATTATAGGATACCTTAGCAATTTTTATAAGGGTCTAAGATGGTTTACCGAAGCCAACATTGAAGGGTCATCGAGGGACTACGATCTTGTATTCGATGGTCATTGCTAATGTATCCCACATTCGAGGGAGATGACTATTATTATCCGAGGCACCAAGTGTGGGTTACCCTAAAGGTGCGCGTGTGAAAAGTGTGTTTGATTGCATGCATTTTTGTATTTGAGATTAGGGTTTTCTAACGGTTGATTTTATCTTACCATACACACCCTAATTACTAACAATTATATTAAAGCGATAAATTGCGGAAATTAAAATCCTAAACTATTACATCACTTGGAGGATGGGGGTATAATTTACAAATGGGGATGAAGTAGAAGCCTAATTATTACAACCATATTGAATAGAAATGAAGAAAAATATATAAAAAATATAAAAACCGTGTAAAAAGAAAGGAAAATTTTTTTTAACCATTATATGTCGACACATACAGCTATGCATCGACACATAACCCTTCTTGTTCCTGTGAAACCAAAATCAACTCAGTATGAGTCGATACATAAGGGTATGTGTCGACTCATTTCTTATTTGTGTTGACACATTCGTGTTTGGTGTCGACTCATACACCTTTTGTCTTTCTATTTTGGGTCTGAATAGCAGTATGTATCGATGCATAAGACCTTGTGTCGACTCATACTCTGTTCTATCACTAAAATGTGTCGACTCGTGTGAGTATGTATCGACTCATGCTACAGTTTTTAGCTCTAACATCGTTCTATTGTATGTACAAGTCAGTTCTCAACATATAATTGATAAAAATGAACAGTAAACATGTGATTAGCTTCAAGGACAAAGATATCTATATTTTATCTTCACAAATGAACTATTAATGATGTTTTGTATGAAGAATTCAAAGTTAAGGAAACTTACCTTGAAACTGAAATTTGTGCTTTGATTTAGAGTTGCAGAAGCTAAGTTGCAGGTGGCTGTTTTTGGAAAATGGTGATGATGATGTAACAAAAATCGTTCTTGTGTTTTTACAACTCCTGTATGAGGTATGTAGAGTGTTTGGATGGTTTTTTTGGATAAAACTTTGCAAAGTGTGAAAGGTTCAAAGATTTGGACTTCAAAACTCAACTGTGGAGGCTTTATGGACAGTTATGGATTTTTGAGAGTATGAGATTTTGAGGGCTTGTCTACACAAAAAAATTTCTACCCCTTTATCTTGCAAATGCCCTCTCTATTTATAGAGAATGTTTGAGACTTGAAACAACTAAGATTTTGAAATCACATGTTATGGCTATCTTGCTTGTTTTTGAAGCAAGCATGAAGAACATGTTTCCAATGTTTGTACCAAGCTATCTAAAGTGGTTGATCACTTTAAACATGTTTATTCTGACTTGTAGGAGTTAAGTGTGATCAGAACAACAAGTTAGAGGCTCAAGAAATTAACTTTGTGATTAAAGTGAACTTTTCAAGAATAGATATGTTACTTTCTTCCAATAATGGAATGATAAATTTGACAAAGGCTCAAACACTTAGATCATAGTTTAATCAGTTATTTAAGAGTTTAATTAAGGGGTGATATACAAGTTTGAGGCCTGTAAGGTGAAGATTATGCAGCATATCTAGGGTTTTGGTTCATTATTCATCCCAAATCTTCCTTGTAAATCAAGTTTGAAACCCTAACTTCTTGCCTTTGATTCTCTTAGCTCAAGTATGACCTCACTGATTTCTTTGATATTTTGGAAAGCTTGTAACATCCTCTACAACTTTCATGTTGTCAATTTTGACAAAATCATCTTGGAACTATGTGAAAAAATTCCAAGAAGTTGGGATAAAATCCTGACCAAACTATGTTGAAAATTTCTCTAAGTGTTAAATGAAAATGCCCTTACTTCATGAATTTATAACTCCGAATCCAAGAACTTCTAGGACTTGATCAGCAAAGCAAAGTTGTAGATATCACCAAGGTCTACAACTTTCATGTTGAAATTTTTCTTTGAATTATCTTGCATCTTGGTGAAAGAATAGCATGAAGTAATGAAATTATCATGTATAAAAAACACTTAGAAAATTTCCAAGTCTTGAAAAGTTTGACTTTTCACGTTGAATTTTGACTTTCTTTACTTCTTGATGATCAAGCTTGATATTCTTGAATGTCTTGATGAACTTTTATCTTTGAAACTTAATGTTGATCAAAAAGTCAAAGTTTGACTTTTCAGTGTACCATTAACTTTTTCATCAGTTGAGCAAATTTCATCTGTCAATCCAATAATCTTGAGAGATGTTTTGAGCCATGAAATTAGGTCAACATGTTGCATTTGAATCCTTGAGACCATGTTTCAAACCAATAGATTGTGTATTAGGTCAAAAGTCAGTGATCAATCATTCTCAGTCAAAACCCTAATTTGTGGTCTCAGTGTTTCGAAGGTGATTTTGTCTAATCAATTCCTTAAGAATCCTTGAGCATTGGAGGTCCTTTGTTAAATGTCTTGAGAAAAAAGAGGGCAAATTTTGGGTTATAACACACTCCTTTGTATTAGAGGTCTTAGGAATCATTAAAAAGAATTTTGAAATTGATCAAATTAATTAAAAATAAGTTTCTGTATAATTTTTTGTTGCATGTGTCAACACATCTGTTTTTCAGATCGACACATGAAACTCAATTTTGAAGCTTGTAGCCACTGGAAGGCTCAGGTCGACACATGCATTGCATAGGTCGACATGTACTGAAGCATTTATGAAATTGCAGAAATTCTTATTTTATGTGTCGACACATACGATTTATAGGTCAGCACATTCGTTGTTATTTTAAAGCTTGTAACTTCTGACTTGTTTTGGTCGATAAATACCTTCTTTTAGATCGACACATACATCCTAAATCTAAAGTATGTGTCGACACTTACGATATATAGGTCGACACATACTGATTGTTTTAGTCAATTTTATAAATTTCTTTAATTCCGAATAAGTCATTTTTGCCCTGAATTTCCAAAACTATAAATACATCATTTAGCATCATTCATAACTTGATGATACCATAAAATTAGCCTACATTTTCTCTTTATCTTAAACCTCCAATCTATGCATACACACTAACATTCCATTGTAACGATCTTTTGTTGGGGTGCCATCTAGACAAGGATTGACATCTGATTAGGTTCTCTTGTAGCCGAAGATATTGGATTGAGATTTGTAGGGGTCTTCATTGGGAAAACCCACGGGTTTGTCTTCCAAGATCATTGATTGCTTTGGGGGTTTTCATGCCATACATTCAAGAGGTAATTACGGCTTAGTGAAATCCTTTGGAGATAAAGAACGCAAGGGATCCTTTTGAGATAAAGAACGCAAAGGAAGTAGCGAGAGAACATCGAATTATAATTGAGGTCTTGTGTTGTAATAGTTGAAATTTACGGTGCATGAAAGCTTTGGAGATAAATAATGCAAAGAAGTAGAATATTCTAGATAGTCAAATTGGATCTATTGTGTCTTGGTCTTTCTCAAGATTAAAAATGGAGAAGGGATTAAATCAACAACAAGCTTAGGGTTTGTAGAGTTGCTCTTGAACACTTCTCTTGTATCAACTTTTTTGTATAGTAAGAATTATCCTAATTCTATTGGAATTAGTCGCAGACGTACCCACACGCGAGGATAAAAGTGGGGAACTGTGAAGACAAATCCTTGCATCACTTTTCTTATTGCTTTTACTTGATTTAATATTCACCAACCAATTTGTCAAATAGCATTTCGTTATCAATTGAATTGTAAGTAATTTTCCAAAAAAAATTTCATTTATATCAAGTGTTGATATTGCTTATTATTGTACCCCAAAATTTTCCCTCCCATTTTCTTCAAGACAATCTCCTAGGGTTTTCATTTACTCAAGGTTCCTCAAGAATTGATCAGACAAATTCCCCTTCTAAGCAATGGATCCACAACTAGGGTTTCACTTTTCACAAGGAAGATTTGGTTTCTAAGTTCTCAAGTGGATTTCATGGGTTCTCATAAGTCTCCAATAATGCTCATGACAAGTTTCAAGTCTTGCATCACAAGTTTTCTCAGTCAATTGCTCAGATGATTGAAAATCAACTGTATTGGACAA